AAGTGTAATATACATGAATACGTAGCTATTTTTGCTGATATGGAAGGTGCTTCAACCAGCAAAAAGAGGAGGAAAGAGGTCAGACAGAGGAAGGAGAGCTACACTAGAAACAAAACTCAGCTTTTCAACTATCAATGCTCAAAGGGTAATACTACAGAAATGATGATGGACTGTTGGTGATATTTTTAACAAACTAGTGCTTACAGCAACTTTGATAGAAATAGGCTCTGACCACTGAATTGCAAAGTCTAGTAGGAACTGCTATCACTGTCAGTGAGCAATATTTCTGCTCCAATGCAAACCGTGGAGAAATTTTAGGAACAGTGAAAGGGACTTGTTGCTTTTGGACATGATGACAGCTTGAAAACAATAACTGAATTATGTAAACACATAACAAATGAGCAATTTCAGAACTGAAAGAAACTGTACAGTGCGCTTTGAAAATCAACAGTGGTTTTGAAATCGTTAATTAAATGACAAAAAGAAGTTGACATAAAGTGACATTAATCTTGTGCCTTCCGTTCTATTCTCAAATTACTCTTTGATTTATATCTCCTTAAGTTAAAAGATAACAAAATCAAATTTTAAGAAGTTAATAGATCTTTTTTGTATCAAATTCTCAGGAAATTGAAAAAAAATTATTTTTTTCCTTCTGTGATACCTTAAAGGTTTAAAAAAATTTGAGATACTGCATATATCATTCTATCAATGCATAAGACGTTATTTGAGTAATAGAAACAAATGATGATCAAAAGATCTAGAAACTAATATTTCACATCTGAAAATGTTATACTGAATCATTTGAATGGGAGGTTTCCTAAATTTGGAGGATTGGTTGAGGATTGCGAAATTCTTCACTCCAAAATAACATAGATTTACACTCACTGTTTAGCTTTCCAAGTTGATTTAGCAGAAAGACGATCTATTTCAGGCCATACACACAACTAAAAGTTTCAAAAGTGGAATTTCATACCTCACATCTAAAAGCCCAAAATAATGGTTATGATTTACTGTATTTACTCCTGTATAAGTTGACCTTTTATGACCAAAAAATCAGCCCAAAAAATCACCCTCAACTTATAGACGAGCCATACACAAAGACCTGACTCAAGCAATCCAAGAAATTAGAATAAGAACTGCATCATTTCTGTCAGGAAAACTGAGTTTACAAAACCAGTTCTAATTGTGTTTTAGTTTCATCAATTTTCAGCACATTTTTCGTCAACAAAAAAGTTTGAAATAATACATTTTAAGTGACTTTAACACAAAGCTACTGGAGCTGATTTCTATTGTCTTCTGATCTGCAGAGCAGACATTTTTTCTTACAGCTTTGATGCTGTTTATGACACTAAACTGTCATTTTCATTGAACAATTTCAGTAGCTTAGTGACCTAATGAATGCTGTGCTCTCATGTGGTCTTGTTTGTTACGCACGATCCTTTCGAAGCTCTTCAGTGTTCCTTCGGTCTACTAAATCTCCTTTCAAAATCAACATTAAGATGAAGGTTAGTTAAATGCAAGAGGATTTCATTTTTAATGCAATTTGCAAAATATGGTGAAATACTTCTTTAGTAAATTGAAGTGCTTGTGTATGCTTAAATTGTGGTGATATATACACAAGTGGTAATAAATTTGGTAGCACTCAGTTACAGTTTACCCTGCAGTTTTTTTTTAATTTTTTTATTCCCCGTGTTTTCAATACATTCTCAGAAATAAGAGATTAACTTTTTGGGAAATTAATATTGTTCTAAACTTGACTCCTTTTACTAGAAATGATGAAAAATCTGATTTTTGGCCTTGAAAATGGGGATCGACTTATACACAAGTTCAATTTATATGCAAGTAAATAAGGTAAAGAACAAATTAATCCAAAAGTACCAATCAATACAATAATACAATATGGTAGAGGTCAACAATGCTTTTCTGATTTGATAAAATTTGAAACAACTCTTTAGTTGAGTAATGTGAAGTGTTTCCTAGCCTTTTTACATGATGAACCTATACATGCCATTTTCTTTTTGCACTTTCACTCTTGAAGCATTATCAATGACAAAGATGTCCATGGGTGAAGACTTTCATGGCATCATACAAAGCTAAGGCTGAGAGTGCATGTGATTCCTCCTCTGGTACAAAATAGCAAAGGTTTTAAAGTCAAACAAAATATTACAGTATGGCATGAACAATTTTCATGGGAATCACATGTATAATTTGCAAATTGGCATTTTTTTCTGTTTTGTGAAAACATATGATTTTCTAGTTTTAATTGACTGAGATTTTGGCTGGGAACTAATTTTTGCAATTTTCTGTTAAATAGGCAGAACATTGATAAGTCTGACAAGGAAAGAAAATCAACAACTTACATTAAAAAAATTCAGGACTTGTTGGATGTTAGATCATTCATGATTATCATATGTAGATATTTAAAAAAAACTGATACATGATTTACATACAGAGATTTTTAACAGATGGAAGGTAGAAATTTTTCATAGATTTTCATTTAGCAGGATCTTTTCCATTAAAACCTTTTTTAGTTTTTGCATCAAGGGCAATCTACTAAGTCAAAAGTACATTGATACCCACAACATTTCTACACCAAACAGTTTCTCCTAAACTTTCATGGCATGTTACATGGTATCCATTGGCCGGTGTCTATATGTCCCTTCCCCATGTAAAGGCTAAGATCAAGACAGAGAGTATAGTTTCTTTGCTAAAGACATGACCTGTCCCACATTTAGTCTGAAAAATACCATGATGGTTGTTAATTCTCCTCTCTGGTTGCCAAAAATTTACTTGAAAATTGGTTACAAGAATTTTGGGGTTCAGTTGTAGGTCAACATAAAAACTTCTACTTGATAAGTTTGAGTATTATCATTACCTGTTTGATGGAAAATGTATATAATAGGGAGAAGTTATAAGTTTATCACTTTTGGGAGTTAAAAGGCTAAGAGACTCAAAATTATCAATACTTTTTATCTTGATCTTGCACCAGCATCTCACAACCAATTTACAAGAGAATGAATGGCAGCTAGAGGGGAGAATTAACAATCAGATCTTAAGAGTTAAAGGGTTAATGGCTTCCCCTCAGCAGTAACTGCTCATTGCTATGTTGAAAGGTTAACACCTAAATCATTAGCTTTGGTCACTGATTATTCTCAGTTGATAGAAATAAAGTATTAGCTAATCACGAAGTCTGATCATCTCAGTATAGAGGGTAGTCCTAAAAAATATTGTAACTGCTGACAGTGACCCATGTTTTACAACCAGAGAGAAAGTCACTATCAGAGTCAAGTGAACAACTGGTTTTCACAAACCACACCTACTTTCAATGGTTTAAATTCAAGGGTAACATTTGACTGTGAAATCTAATTGGTGAAAAAGTGTAGGACTGAAAAACAAATTGTTGTCAGTAGAATGGTCTGATGTTTCAACAACCTTAGCAGAATCAATCATCAAAGGCAAAAGATGATGACTTCCACCAAGGTTGTCAAATGTCAGTCACCACAACTGATAACAATTCCTTTCAGGACTACTCTCACCTAAAAGATCAGACAACACAATCAAGCAAACCAGACATGTAAAACTTGACTGACAAAAAAACTTTGCTTGATTCTAATAACAACTTTTGCTCAGGTTGTTGAAATGTCAGTCACCATCACCAACACAGTCTTTTTCAGAACTTATCAAGCTGGAATGATCAGACTACAAGAAGAATACCGACTGTGCAGATTATTTGTAAAATGCTGGGGAAAAACAAATCTTAAGTGAAACAGTGTTTTAAACCCTTTTGTATATTAAGGGCATCGGTTGTTCAAATGGTGAATAATGCTGATGCTTCCAATAAATTGATACCTGATGGATTGTGTGGTTAATTTGCTTTGCAGCAACATGGATTTCTATTTAACACAATATCTCAGATGGCAGCACATGTATGTTAGAATAATAGAAGACCCCACCCAAAGGTGGTGTCAAAGCATGTGAAATCTTGCATGACCAATGTTCATTTACACTGATCAGCATCTGGCCTCAAATGTAAAACTCGAGTACCAATACTTTAAAGCCTGTCAGTTCTGGTCCAAAGTTTAATTCAAACAAGATGGACCATTTTTTGTTTACTTCTTGCAAAAAATAAATTACATCAAAAAGGATCTGTAAAATATATATGATAGTCTTCCCCTTGCTACACTTTCTAGTGGTATAATAGTGGCTGATTTCATAACCTACGGGAATGGAAGAGCGCGCAAGTACTGAGTCAAGGGAGAATGTTATGTACCTCCAACTATTCATAAGAATTTGTCCACATGTATCTAGATTGTGAATTTCTTACATGAATTGAGGATATACACACAGCGCTTATACGGTTAGGAACTAGCTCGGTAGTTAACCAACAAAAATAAATGATGTTTTCAACGTGACAACGATGACGGACTTTGATCTGGCTAGACTTGATACAAAATCATGTTGTAAAGTCTTCACCTCCCTTCAAGATCAGCTGTCTAATGTATGAATAGAACTAGCACAATGGCGACGAAGCGAAAATCAGCTGAAGAAAGCTGAAGCAGCCACGAGGCTGATGCTTCCGTCGAAAGTAATAAATTTTAACTACAAACCAATATCTACGGTGAAATTCCTTGTTACAGGTTCTTACCTTGAAGTAGAACGGGAAATCGCCATACAATTTCAACCACTTCGTGCGCAGGATGTAGATTTCTACCCGGTAAATACACGAGCTGTGGAATAATCTTTTGATGGTGCATCTTACTTCTTGTACATGAAAACGAAGCTTTAAAGCTTTAAAGCTTCAGATACAGATCACACCAGGTGTTTTGACCGATCGGGACGCTGTTATGAATATTGTTCTCAAACCGTCTACTCTGTACATTGAGGTTGGAAAAATTTCCTCCCACTCATTTTGGTTCCAAGCTTCCTCGATCAGCTTGTATCACGTGATAGAAATCAAAAATCCCGCGCATTTCATTTCTATGGCGACGGTGTTGAGAAAATCCAATATGGTGGACGAATTCAAGGTTATTTTGTAAAAACATTGTAAAAAACACGGTTAAAATTTGTTTGAACCCATACGAACTTTGGCACAAAGATGGACAGCAATATTCGGAAACTTGTTCACGCAGCGTCGCAAGATAATGACGAGTCTGCATTGTTTGAGGCTTACAGCAAGTTGAAGAAGGAAAGGCAATCGTCAGATGACAAAATCGATGCAGTTTCATCGGATCTTTTCGTATTGTGCGCTGAAGCAGCGCAAAAGGTATGTCGCATTATAACAACTGTTTAATTTTAGAGGAGTGTAATTTGAACTGGATTAGAATTTCTGGTGGAAGTGCTCCACCTGCATGAAACTTTTAACAATTGTTAATTGTACATATCAAGAGTAAATTCTAATTCGACCAGAGTTGTCTGCACTCAGCTTAATTAATTGATTATGCTTAATCAAGTATTCTATTTGAAGGTCTTTTAAATAAGACCTCAGCGGTTGAGGAAAATTAAGTTAGCACAGGGAAAGGCTTAGTATAACAGTCAGTAAAAACGGAAAAATTTTTATTGGTCCTGATATGGATAAGATTTCTGCACAACCCTATAGATACTGTTTTAAAACAAAGTCGTAATCCTAAAGGGAATCTACCGTTTTCGCTATTGTTTTCTATATGCATGAACTGTATGCATAATGAAATATGGGGCTGTGCAGGAATCTTACCATGGTATGTCTGAGGTGTCAAATGTGCAGAGTGAAAATGTTAGTAATTAAATCTAAAAAAAAATGAAGTGAATGGGAAACAATGATTATACCAAATAAATCAAACCTTTATATTATTTGAAGACAAGCAGCAGTAACAAAAGAAAAGTTTTGTTTACCCTTTGTGTATATCACAACAAACATACCAGTATTGTGGAAACAATAATGATTATGAATATGAAACCAATCTTCACAGTAATTAACACTACTTACATGTAAGCAGTAGTGAAAATAAGGCCTAAAAAACTTCAGGCCTTTATGGGATTTGAACTCATGACTTTTGCAATACCTGTGCAGTGCTCTACCAACTGAGCTAACATTAGCCAACTGGGAGCTGGTCGTTATATTGGTTCATAATGAACTGGTGGAATGGTGAATCAGTGACTGTGAAAATATGAAAATCATATATGTGAACTGTGTTTTTTTTAGAAATGAATATGAGTGTGACCTCCACACTAATGAACACCACTTAAGCTGTAGTGAAAATAAGGCCAATAACATATCCACAGCACACAACTTGTTCTTTACTCTATCTTCTAAAGCATGAAACCTCTATAATTTTACTAAGTGTATGCCACTTCATTGCAACTTGGTCTTACCCTTCACTTCACAAACACAGGGTGGTGGTGCTGGAGAGCTCTCTAAAGGTTCCTTGCTTTTCTTGTCTCTAGAGAGGCCAATTTTCTAAATTTCTATGGAACAACGATCCTCCCTGACCCTATGGAGGTGCTGTTACATAACTATCATTCATGTAATATATAAATTGATTTATTTGTTCACATGTTTATTGTTGTTTATGAATTTGTCTATTTTCAACTAATGCATTTCTTTTACCCTGTACAGCATTGTCAATTTGATGTCATGGATGACTGTGTAAAAATGTTTTTTCAGAAGACTCCTCCCTCAAATCAGTTTCTATGTCGAGCTTATTTGTGTCAAGCTCAGCTCAATGCTCCAACTTCTTCTAAGAATCCAGTGAGTTTTGATTTTATTCCTATTATAACTGTTACAATTTTTACATGTTCCAGGGGTCTCCTTAAAAGCTGTTTACCAGTAGTCTATGGTTACCTGTAAGACCTCTTACCAGTGTCTGTTCAACCTGCATGCAGGCTCTCATGTTTGGTTTTTGCTTTATGGCCCCTTTCTAGGCACAACAGCCTATTACACCATTGGCAGCCTGTTATCGAAAAATATAATGAAACCCCTGGGTTCAGTTGTTCAAAAGGTGGATAACACCCTCTGATGGATAATTTGCTATCCAGCTGATAAGTGCAAACAAAACATACTGTGCTATCCACCAGAAAGAGATTTATCAAGTGGATAGTGTTATCTACCCTTTCAACAACTAGGACCAGATGTTCCTCTCCAGAGAGCTTTTATGAATTGATTTAATTCAATATTTATCCAATTTCACCTTTGAGTGATTTTGAAAGAAGAAGTATGATTAAGAAACAAGTTAATTTTAATTTTGCTGCAAACAGTTATTGTTTTGATCCACATTTTGAGATTTGAAAGATCAACCTATTTGTTCAAAAGCAGTCTTTAAATATGTTAAAAACTGAAGTATGGGTGTGCTGTTATTTTGAAAAGAGTTACATAGAAACCATATACACTGTATAAGGCATTTTTTGTAAGGTGCAAGATCTAAGAGAAAAAAGCTTCAAATGCTAGTTTGCATATGAATAATAACAGTGCAATGTCTTTGTATATTGAGTTGTTCTTGAAAAGAAAAGAAAAATTAATTTTATGCTATCTTTCCTTACTGATCTTTAACATCAAAAAAGCTCATTTTAAATTTGTGAACTTTTTGTACATAATCTAGATAGAACTTCCTCCACTGGCTGACATTGCTTTTGGCATAGACACAGTTTCATTGACCCAGGCATATTTGTAATGTTTTCACAGGAGCAACTTGATAAAGCAGTGGAATCCCTATTGAAGGCAATTAATTTTGCCAAAAAGAATGTTAGGTATGAGTTGCAATCTATTTGTAAATAACATTGCTAGTTAAACTCTATATGTTTATATTAATTAATTGTGGATATATTAATTAATTGTATAATTTATTAACTTACATGAAATGGCTGTCCATTACTTCAGTCTAGAAATTTCATTACAGATACTACTTCTTGGTGTACAATGCTTCAGTACTGTATTGGCAGTTCTGTCGTCCTTTCCTTAAGCCCAACTATCGCCAATATTTGGCTAAAAGTCTGCATCAGGTTGTGAAAGCACTGGATGATATTGATGACAAAGATTATGGCTGGAGAGCTCAGCTAATGATGTGAGCATTCTGTTTTTTGTTTTTGTTTTATTCTTTTTGTTTTTTTGTCCTTTATAGGTATTCAGACCTATATGCAATTCAGTAAAGCAATTAGTACTATCAGTGACAAAAGTTTGTTTCTCAGCTCTTCCTCCTCCTCTCCATTTTTCCCCTGAACATTTATTTTCTTTCCATAAGACTGTTCTTGTTTTTGTCCTTCTTCTTGAATGCTTGGTAATTCATGATAACATTAGGGTTGGGGAGTTGGCAGAGTTCTTTGGGTGTGTGCATTGGGAGGGGTCATTTAGAACAGTAAGGACAGAAAAATAATTATAGCTATCTTAATTGTTTCTCTGTCCATATTAAAATGAAAAAAGAAAACATTGTATTGCATCAAGGTTTGTTCATGTCATGGAAAACCTGGAAATCCATGGAATTTACAATTTATTGTGATGAGTATGGATCATGACGACTAAAAATCTCAAACAAATTTTCAAAATGGAACAAACCAAGACATAGAGTGACTCTGATTATTATTTTGTACATAACTTTGAAATCATATACATATTAATTCTGCAATGAACTTTTTCAGTCATTTTTTAATGTGTATCATGATTATGTTTTGTACATGGCTTCAAGGTCAGTCTCACCTTTGTCTTAGTAACTAACTGAATGCTTTCTTCTGAATAGTGCATTGATTGAATGCCATGTGGATGCAGGACGTAAAGAAGATGCCACTCAAATCAGTATTGCCACTTTGGCATTCACTAAAAGTAATGTTCCTTCATTATACACAACTGTACTAGGACTGCAGGTGAGGTCTGCAATGATCAAATGTTCAGATCTTGTTTTCTACTCTTTACATTTCACATTTGGTCTTAATGTACTATTTTTCTGTCTGCTAGGTTCGTCATCGACTGATTGATTTGTCAAAAGCATCAAAAGAAGCAAGAGCTTCCAATGAGTTGTACATGTTCTACAAGATCCAAAGGCTTAGAACGTGAGTTGTGATAAATACACATATTTAAAGGGATATGTTGAATTAGAATTCTTCAGAATATGGTGCCAAGAGGTTTTCATCAAATCCATGTGTAGTACAAATTATTCAATTCCCACAAAAATATAGCTGTACAGATATGTACATTACATTTTGAAACTTTGTATATTTCTTGGTCATCATCTGTAAAAGTACAATGTGTTATCTTGAAGTCACACTTTCTGAATTTAGATTAGGGCATCTTGAACCAAACAATAATCATCTCATGTTTTTAGTGTTTCTGTACATTGTCTACAATTTGGAATGTATGAAATTTTTAACCCTTAGAGAAGTTCAGTTTTAAAATCAATGTCAGTCATTAAGGCTTAGGCATCATGACATCCTTACCCCGATAAATCTTTTTTTGAAGCTACCAATAGTAAAATTAGAAATGCCTTCAAGTTGATAAATGTGCAAACTCTCATACACACAGAAACTATCAAAGACTTCTAGTATTGTTAACAATTTTCAATTGAAAATGTCACATTTTGTCAACAGCTTGATTGAAGCAGATGAAAAAGTTGACATAGAACAAGAACTAAACAAAATCTACAAATCAATAGTCAAGGGGGTGGATGCCACAGATCGAGCTAGTACAGCCATGTCTACAAGTACATCAACCAGCAAAGCCAGCTCTCCTTATGTTGTTGGAAGTAATGACAGGTGAATAAAACAGTTCTGCAACCACTTATTTGATATTTAGAATGTACAGCGCTATGTTCTCCAATCAAACACTTACAGCTAAAATGTACCACTTGTGATGGCTTACTGTAATTTGCAAAATGAAATAAAATGCAATGCAATGCAATGAAACAAAACAAAACGAAATGCAACAAGATGAAACAAAATGAAACAAAATGGAATGAAATCTGAACAAAATAGAAATCTGTAATTTGCAAAATGGACATATGCTAATGATTTGCAAAATAGAAATCTGTAATTTGAGATTCCTATTTTGCAAATCATCAGAATATATCCATTTTGCAAATTAAAGATTTTCATTTCATTTTGTTTTGTTTCGCAAATTACAATAAGCCCTTGTGACAGCACATATTAATATAAGTACAGCGCAGTGTTCTCTAATCAAACACTTACAGCTAAAATGTACTACTTATGACGGCACATACTAATACAACTGCAGTAACTGCTTAGAGGTTTTGAAATTACATCAGACAATGTTATGAATTCACAAGTTTGGAAAAAAATCTCACAGGTTAAACGGAACACCAGGAAAGACACTAACAGAGTCATTGTCTGGTTAAATATCTCCTAGTAGTATTGAACATTTTCATAGTGACCAATGCTCCAAAAAGCTGCATGTGAGTTATATAAAGAGTGAACTCTGCTTTATTAATTGATCTGATTTTTTCTACACTCAATCTTCTTCAGGATACCACTTCTCATTGAGTTGGCCAGACTCTGCTTGGAGCATGATAGGCATGATTTAGCCTCAGACTGTATTGAAAATCTTAAAGGGGGTGTTAAGGCAAGTAGTAGTTTGTTGATCAAGGCATTTATAAAATCTTCATCATTTGCAATTGGTAGGGTGATTTGATTGAACTATTACGTTACACCCTTAACCCTTTACACCCTAACATCAGTAGGTATATTCTCCATACTATTCTATTTACATTTCCTAAAGTGCTGATGAGGAGAATTTGTTTCACAATCAAGAGTTTCTTAGTTGGTGATCATTTTCTTTATTCTAGTGACCTAACTGTGTGATTCAGGGGTGATACAGCAAGGAGAAATTAGATGCTTATACTCTAAGGGTGTGAAGGGTTAAGATGGGTTTCCGCTAGAGAGTCAAAGATGTTCCCCATTAAGGTTTCAGTCTGTTGTCTAGTGATTCTGGAATTTAGGGGAGAAGGGAAGCCAGATTTGGGATTGTAAATAATTGAACCAAACACAGGATCAAAGCATTTTGCATGGTGGGAAGCAAGATGTATTGCATCAAAGAACCACGGGATCTGCAGAGAGTTGTCTTTTGAATTGACTAAAATGAATGTGGCAGGGGATTGGAATTAGGAGATAAAAAACATCAGGATTTAAAGAAAGAAGATGGTTTGATCAAGATAGTAGAATTGTAAGACCCCGTAAGGGATTCTTATATTTCAATACCAATGAGCCTTATGGTTTTATCGATTTTGAACATGTTTAAGTTTTTAAAGACAAATCTAAAGTTGTATCATGTATTTTCAGACTTCTGAGACATTGCTGGAAATTGAGTTCATGAAGTGTGAGTTGATGGTTCAGTCCCTTGGCAAAAAGAAAGAAAATTACAGCAAATCTGTGGTGGAGGCAAGTATTTTATTGAAAAAATATCGGGTGAACCTGTGTACCTTGGAGCCATCCATTTTTCAGTTTTGTAGCCACCCAAAGTTCACATTCTATTTTTTGATTTTTACTGGTATGTATGAGGAATAGAAACATTTTTACTGGCATGTATGAGGAATAGAAACATTTAGTTCTGCAAAAAAAAAACAAAAAAAAACAAAACAAAGAGATATCAAGGTATATTGATTGTCCAAAAGTGCATCCTATAGACTTCATTTATTGAAATAACCAACCCCAACTTTTTACCTCTGTTCAGATGGTGACTGGGTGGAACTGTCCAGAATGAATGTTAAGCTTACAATATCACATTATGGTTATGTGTTTTCTTTCAGAGACGTATTCAAGCAATCAGAAAACTTGAACAATGTATAATGACAGCTGTTAGAACCGGAAATCCAAATATTATACAGGTCTGATAACTTTCTTATTGTATAAATGACTTTAATTTTTCACTGTAACTAATGTTTATTGATAACACTTTCTGTACTTATGATTGCCCAATGAACACATTTGTTGAGGGGAAGAGAGGACACCTCTATGGAAGGGTAATTCAGACCAGTAAGAAGAATGAAGAGGTATAATGTTATGATTATTTAAGGTATGCCTTGTACTGTGATGAAAGTTAATTTTATTGTTTTACAGACAGGATGTGTGACAATGTGGAATCTTACCCTGCCTCTTCTGCAGTCAAATTTGCGACATCATGTGAGAAAGCCCCTTACCCTTGCTGCACAAGCCTTGGAAGACATTGATAGGTACATTAAGCAAATGGACAACAAACTTTTATTTCAGAAAACCTTTTCATTATTTTGTTTCCAAATGTTAAAAGAATACCTCTAATTAAAAATATAACTCTTAGTTAGGTATTTTTATCTTTGAGATTCATGTAAAATACATGAAAGTTTGATTTCATTAATTTGATAAATTGATTTAGACCAACCAACATTCAGGGTCTTTAAAAAACTAAGGAGAATGTGCTGCCTTTGTTATGACATTCTAGTCCTCTCAGGTAAGAACAATAAAACTGTAGGCCCTGTCTCCTGCACATAATCTGTGCTGGTTAGCAGGTGACATTAAAGAACATGCGCACTTCTTGTAAAGAGTAGGGAATGTAGCTCTGGTGTTGTTGTCTGGTCTTGCTTCCAAAAATTCCTAAATTGCAGTATGGCTAAAGTCCCCTGCAAAGTGTTATAAAGTGCATTATAAGGTGCGTTAGAGGACACCATCAACATTAACATTAATTGCTCAATATTGCATTTTTGCTTAAAGAGTAAGCATGATCTTTTCTTGTTTTATATATTGTCCTTTAGTTTGTTGGTTCTGTTACGATGTCAGATGCACACAGAACTGGCTAAATGTGAAGAGGCTGAAGATCAACTGGAGTATGCTGTCACACATCTAAGAAAGGCACTTGAACTGGATGACTCAGGACAGTATGGTGATAGATTACGCACTGCCCTGACAAGGCTACAGTTAAGAGCCACTCTTTACAAAACTCCTGAAAGGCCTGAAGATTTGGCTGCTATGATTATAGAGCAGGTTAGAATCCCGAGTTTTTGATTAACAAAGAGCTGAGATTTTAATCGGGCTGACTCTCTTGTGTGGTTACGCACCTTCAAGATTTCAATCAGTGCAGTTTTCTTGTCGTACTTTTATGTTGCGAAAGATTTAGAGAATTTTCAACAGAAAGCATGAGAAAGCATTGAAATTAAGAAAACATCAATAGTAACATCATGTACGACATACTGTTTTAATTCAAATGAGTGGTGAATCAATCAGTCAATCTACTAAAAAATTATTCCACGAGCGCGCATTGGATATGAGATAATAGTTCGGGTGGAATAATTGTTTTATCGAAAACGCTCCAAATTATAGATAAATCTTCCCAACATTATTTTACGGAATGTTACAATGTACAAAAACACTTCCGGTCTAACTTGTCTTCATGCGCGATAGTATAATGGCTTATAACCCATGAGGCCATGTTGCATGATAAGCTGAATCATTCACGCCTTATGATTGGTTCTTACTTTGTGATCTGTTGGAGAACAGACGCATAGATGACGTCACCATTAACAATATTTTGTTAATTTTGCTTTTCTATCATATAAAAAAATACAGTTTCCATATTGCCGCGAGTCCGTTCAGTAATAGATCACGGAAGACGGTAATATGTGGTAGGAACATCAATGACACAATTGAGTGCGTCTCGTGCGACTCTTTTTTGTTCTTAAAACATTTTGATGTCATCTTTGATCTATTACTGAACGGACGCACGGCAACATGGAATCTATTTGTTAAGCTGATTAACTTTTTACACCCTAGCATCAGTATGCATAATCTCCTTACTGTCCTCTGTATATTTCCTGATGTACTGAAAAGGAGAATTTGTTTCACAGTCAAGAGCTTCTCTAGTTGGTGATTATTTCCTGTATTCTCTCGACCATAACCTGTGATTTTGTCGAGATATTGTAAGGAGTTAGATGCTTGTCACTCTTAGGAGTCAAAGGATTCAAAGGTCTTTAATATTTGCTTACTTCTCTACAAAAACTGTAAGAAATGCGATTGTGTAATAGTCATGCAAAACTTCTAATTTAGAGGTCCGGTTTTGAGCCCTGGCTTGGAAATCTTAGGCGCTACATTTTGTAATAATGAAATCCACAATAATAACATTGCTGCCAACTTACAGGCGAGGGCTAGTGATGACTCCAGCACAGTTCGTATGAAGAGAGCTTCCTTAGTGAAGGCAGGGGAGGCGTTGTCACCGGATGCCTTCATGCATGTGCTTGACAGTGAGAGTAATACAAAGGACCCATCTACTGGGAAAG